GTTTCATATGCATTTTAAGCATAAAAGCAAACCAGAAAATCAGGAAATGTAACTCATTTGTTCCAACAACAAAAAACAGTTTTGACCTCCTAATGCGGTAATGGCACAAAATGCACTATGCTTATCGGATTAGGGTGTAAGACCCACCGTTTCGAAGCTAAGAACCAGGGCTACAACAATATAGAAGGCCACTCAGTCCAAATCCTAGCACAACTAGGTCAAAAATGCAGAATACCAAACCAGAACCGTAATTGCAGGTTCACAAATCACACAATGCTGTAATTGGTCTAATCAGTCTATACAGGTCCAAATGCCGAAATTCCAAAGGCATATGATAGCTAAGACATCCAGCTACATTTCATCAGAAGACACTAACATCAAAATCCACACCAATTCCAGTCAAAACAGTCAATTACAAGTGCAGTTTTCACATTCTGAGCAACCCAGATCAGCAATAGTAAAATCGACATATGCGAATGGTCATGTAGTGCCTCTAGGCCTATCTACTACCGAGTGCTAGGTGGGGAGTTCGAGTACGCTATTCCCCATCTGACAGATATCTCCGATGTTCGTGTAGGTTGACCATTGCCTACCCGAACCACCTCATGCTTGCTTTGGATGACGACCATCGTCAGTTAGTGGATCTTAACCAGGATTTACAGGCAAAGGTGGATAAGTTTAGACAGATGGTTAGCGCTCAGGAAAAGAGGATTGTGGAGCTCGAGAAGGTCCTAGAGGGCGAGGTAGTTACAGCTGCAGTTGTTCGTGAGGAGCTCCAGAGCACTAGGGCTCGACTCACTAGGTTGGGAGAGGAGGTCCGTGGTCGGGCTTCCGACATCTTGACTGATGCTACTAGATTGGTGAAGGAGGCGATGGATGTAGTCCAAAGTCCTGATCAGGAAGAGTAGGACCCAGAGGAGGATCCTGAGGAGGAAATTCCCCCTGGTAGTCCTACTGAGGACTAGGTCTTTAGTGATTGACCTTTTGACTCTTTTGACCCTTTTGACTGATATAGTTAGGATTAGCTGGGGTGACGCTAAGTGCTGAGGCCATTGTGTTTTGCATGACTGTGTGGCCTACTTTTGAGGCATTTGCTTTTACTTTAGTCTTCTGTGACTAAAAGTACTCTTGTGGCACTTGTGTGCTATATTTTTGTGATTTCCCCCACGACTTGCTAATTGTATGAACTTGACATGTTAATGAATGTAAATTACTGTTATTTCCAATGTTTTCTTGATTGGTTCCTGTTTTCTACTTTGCATCGCATAATTGATTTATTTCTTGCACTAGGCACGCCTAAGTTATGGAAGGGCTAAGAAGTGGTCGAGACCATGGGCGAGCGATTAGACAGGCCCAACCTCAGGGGGATGAGCAGAGATCGGCAACTAGACTGACCCAGGGCCAGAAAAACATTAAGGGTAATCAAGTGGCTACTACCATTAATAAGATGACTGATATCCTAGAGCGCTTAGCTGATAGACAAGGTCCTTGACCGTTTAACCAACCTAGGGGTCAGGAAAGAGGAGAGGATAGAGCCTTAGAGAGGTTCTTAAAATTCAACCCGCCTAAGTTTCTTGGTGAACCCGACCCTGAAATAGCGGAGAATTGGTTAGAGAGGATGACTAACATATTCGCCGCTCTAGACTACACTGAGGATAGGCGAGTGAATTTTGCTGCTTTCCAATTTGAGAGAGTAGCGCGTGCTTGGTGGGATGTGATAAAAGGAAAATGGGAGAGAGTTCAAAACCCTTGGACTTGGGAGAACTTCACGAGAGAATTTAATGAAAAGTTCCTTCCACCCTTGATCCAAGAAAAGAGAGAGGATGAATTTATTAAGTTGAAACAAGGAACCCTTACAGTAGTGGAGTATGAAGGAAAATTCACTAAACTTTCTAAGTATGCCCTTGAGCTGGTGGTTAATGAACGGAGGAGGATAAGACAATTTGTACAGGGATTGAATGTGAAAATTCAGGAGGACTTGCCCGCTGCCCAAATTTCTACATTTACTGAGCCTCTAGAAAAGGCACAGAGGGTTGAGAGTGCAAGACTACAAGTGAGGGACTTTCACAACAGAAAAAGAAATTTTTCTAGCCATACTTCTGGGCAGGCTAGTAAGAATACGCAACCTTCCAAAATGGAATGAGGAACGGGAGGAACAAGGACTGCTGGGGCCTCGAGGGGCCTCGAGGGGAGGTTTAGCTAGAGGAGGTCATAGTGGACCGACCCAAGCTAGGGGAGCGCCATCTATTGGTTCGGCGGTGACTTCTCAAGTTTTTTATGGGTACTGTGGTAAATCCAACCACTCCGAGAATGACTGCTGGAGAAAGTCGGGGAAGTGTTTGTTTTGTGGTAGTGCCGAACATCAGGTCGCGGATTGTCCAAAAGCGTCAAAAGTAGGAGGTAATACCCAGAGGCCATAAAAGTCAACCTCCAAGCAGACCAATGCAGGGGAAAGTCGACCAAAAGTGCCAGTTAGGGTCTATGCACTGGACTACCAACAGGTACCTGAGGCGACTGAAGTGGTTGAAGGTACAATTCCAATCTTTCACCGTTTAGTTAGGGTTTTAATTGATCCGGGTGCAACACATTATTTTGTAAACCCTAACTTCATGAGTGGAATAGATTTGAAGCCAATTAAGTTATCATATGATTTGGAAGTTAAAACACCTACCGGGGATCAAAGTTTAATTGCTAACCTGGTGTATAGAAATTGTGAAATCTGTGTTGGAGAACAAAAATTGTTGGCCGATTTGATAGGCTTAGCAATTAAGGGGTATGATGTGATTTTAGCGATGGATTGGCTAGCCCATTATAACGCCCAGTTGAATTATAGGACCAAGATTGTAGAATTGGGCATTCCAGGGCAGACAACCCTAAAATTAGATGTAAGGGGTAAATTGGCTTCGTCTGCACTTATATCAGGGATTCGGGCTAGAAAATTATTAAGTAAAGGAGCCCAAGGCTACTTGGACTTTCTAATCAACACTCCTAGTGGTAAGGTGAATTTGGAAGACATGCCTGTAGTAAAAGACTTTCCAGATGTATTTCTTGAAGAGTTAGAGTCTTTACCCCCAGAATGGGATATAACTTTTAAGATTGACGTGACTCCAGGAGTAGCACCTATCTTTAAGACACCATATCGGATGGTACCAGCTGAGTTGAAAGAGTTAAAAATGCAACTGCAAGACTTGTTAGAACGGGGTTTTATACGAGAAAGTGATTCTCCGTGGGAAGCCCCGGTTTTGTTTGTTAAGAAAAAGGACGGGAGTTTGAGACTGTGTATAGACTATAGAGGCTTGAATGATGTTACGATCAAGAATAAGTACCCATTGCCCCACATTGATGAGCTATTTGACCAATTGCAAGGGGCGGTAGTATTCTCGAACTTGGATTTGAGACAGGGTTATTATCAATTGAGGATTTTGGAGAAGGATATACCCAAGACTGCTTTTAACTCGAGATACGGACACTTTGAATTTGCCGTGATGCCATTTGGATTAACGAATGCACCTGCTGCTTTTATGGATTTAATGCATAGGGTTTTTAAGCCTTATCTAAATCAATTTGTGGTGGTCTTCATTGATGATATTTTAGTGTATTCCAAAAATGTGAAAGACCACGAGAAGCATTTGAGAATTGTCTTATAGACTTTGAGGGAACACCAATTATATGTTAAGTTCAGTAAAAGTGAATTTTGGTTGAGGGAAGTGACTTTCTTGGGACACATAATTTCTAAGGATAGGATTAAAGTAGATCCAACTAAAGTTGAAACTGTTTCGAAATGGAAACGACCGGAAAACCCTACTGAGGTTCGGAGTTTTATTGGATTGGCAGGGTATTACTGGAGATTGATCCAAAATTTTGCTAGAATTGCTGGACCCATGACTGAGTTGACCAAGAAAAGTGAAAAGTTTATTTGAAATCCTAAGTGCGAAGAGAGTTTCCAGGAATTGAAAAGACGCTTGATCAGAGCCCAAGTATTAGCTCTACCCAATGGAAAGGATAGTTTTGTGGTTTACACTGATGCCTCTAAGGAAGGATTGGGATGTGTTTTGATGCAAAATGACAAAGTGATAGAGTATGCCTCTAGGAAATTGACACCACATGAAAGGAATTATCCGACTCATGACTTGGAGTTGGCAGCAGTGGTATTTGCTTTAAAGAAATGGAGACACCATCTATATAGAGTGACATTTGAGATTTTTACTGATCATAAAAGTCTTAAGTATTTATTCTCACAAAAGGAGCTAAATTTGAGGTAACGTAGATGGATGGAATTTCTGGAGGACTATGATTATACAATTAAGTACCATCCCGGGAAGGCCAATGTAGTGGCCAATGCTTTGAGCCGTCAAATACAAATGGCTGGATTGATGATTAAGTAAGGAACTACACTAGTTGGAAGAAGTCAGTTATTGAAATCATCGACTAGAATCGAGGAAGGTCATTTTGGGAAATATTGTAGTGAATTCAACTTTGTTAGAACGTATCAAGGAATCTCAAGAAAATGACACTGAAGTGCGAAAATGGTTGGAAAAAGTTAAAAGGGGAGATAAGTCGGATTTTAACTTGGGATCAAATTGTATATTGAGATTTCGGAATCGGATAGTAGTGCCAAAGGATGAATGACTTAAGAAGGAAATTTTAGAAGAGCCACACTGATCAAGTTTATGGTATACTCTGGAGGGAATAAGATGTATCAAAACTTAAAAAGTCTCTATTGGTGGGAGGATATGAAGAAAGAAATTGCCCATTTTGTCCAGACCTGTTTGGTTTGTCAACAGGTTAAGACCGAACATCAGAAACCGTCGAGACTCTTACAACCGTTGGAGATACCTGAATGGAAATGGGAGAACATCACTATGGACTTTGTGTCGGGATTACCAAGGACACAGAGAGGCCATGATGCTATTTGGGTAATAGTGGATAGATTGACCAAATCGGCTCACTTTCTACCGATTAATATGAAATACCCATTAGAGAAGTTAGCTAAGATATACATGGATGAGATCATCAGATTACATGGAATTCCCGTGAGTATTGTGTCTGACAGAGACCCAAGGTTTGTTTCAAGATTCTGGCAAAAGATGCAAGATGTGTTGGGGACAAAACTGAACTTTAGTACTACTTATCATCCTCAGACCGACGGACAATCTGAGAGGACAATTCAGACTCTTGAGAACATGTTGAGGACCTGTGTTGTAGATTTTGGAGAAAGTTGGAGTAAATATTTAACCTTGGTGGAATTTGCTTATAACAATAGTTTCCATTCTTCTATACAAATGGCTCCGTATGAAGCCCTTTATGGTCGGAAGTGTAGGTCTCCAATTTGCTCGGATGAAGTAGGTGAAAGGAAGATCTTAGACCCGACTACAGTATCTTGGATTGAGGAACCTAATGAAAAGGTAAAGTTGATACGCCAGAGGATCCAAATCACCCAGAGCCGTCAAAAGAGCTATGCCGATAATCGGAGAAAGGATCTAGAATTTATTGTTGGAGATCTAGTGTTTCTCAAGATTACGCCTTTGAAAGTGAGTTTGATGTCTGGAAGGGGAAAGAAACTACAACCGAGGTTTGTAGGGTCTTATAAGATTATCCAGCGCGTGGGGAATGTGGCATACAAGTTGGAGTTGCCACCGAGTTTATCTCGAATCCATAATGTATTCCATGTGTCCATGCTTAAGAAGTATCACCCAAACCCCTCTCATATTTTGCAACCGAAGAGTATTAAAATTGATGAAACCTTGACCTATGAGGAGAAACCAGTGAAGCTACTGGATAGGAAAGTGAAGGAGTTGAGAAATGAACAGATACCGTTGGTGAAAGTTCTTTGGAGGAACCATGGGCTAGAAAAAGCGACTTGGGAAGTCGAAGAAGCAATTCGAGAAAAGTATCCAGACCTGTTCACCAATCAAGGTAAATTTCAAGGACGAAATTTTCTTAAGGGGGAGAGGATGTGATGACTCGCAAAATTTATTGTTTTAAATTCCATTTCGACTTTATTTAAATATTTAATTGCCCAATTACTCCGAATATTATTTTTTTAGTCTCTTAAGATGTAATTACATGGATCTATGGTTTAATTATATTTTATAGTGACTTGTTTCAAAAATTTAATTTTTGAAAGCTCGTTAAATGATAATAGTGAATACGCGATTGGGGATTTTAGCTGATTTGGAAATACCATAAGTTGGAAAAATTAGAGACTTATACATAAGCCTTAAAATAAGTATTTTTATGTTTAAGTACCCAAGTGATAGTTATTAATACTATCGTTATAAGAATTTCTTGAAGGTTTCGCTTTATCGCGCTTAAATTGGAAATACGTGTTTTCACACGTGCAATTTAATTAAGGGACTTTAGACCCTTATTTTGGAACAATTAAGAGTGGATAATATTTATATGAAAATAAGTGTATTAGAGGTTTAGTGCACTAGTAAAATAAACTCGAGAGGAATCGAGCACAAAACGCGTGGGTACAAGCGCGAGGAAGAGTTGACTTTGGACAATTGTGGACCACACATTTAAAGCTTCTCAAGGAAGCTTTATTTGATCACACACACTCTCTCTCTTCTCTCTCATTTGACCGGCCACCCCAAGAGCAAAGAACCAAACTTGCTTCATCAATTTCTACTCCAATTCTTGTACCAAATCTCAACCATTTCACACCAAAATTGAATACCACTTAGCTTAATACTTGGAGAGTTCATCTAGCTAAGAAAAGTAGCTATATTCCCCGGATTTCTTGGACCAAGAAGGGACTGAAAATTCTGCTTTGGAACATTAAAACAAGTAAGTGATGATCAAATCTTGGAAATTTGATTTATGGAAGTTCTAGTGCACATTTAAGCTCTTACATGCATATGGTAGCATGTTTATGTTGGAAAATGTTTGTGTGGGCTCTATGAACTCCCACATTAGATGGATGGACTGATTTGGTGAATGATGATGTTATTAATGGTAGTTTGGTGCTTATATTAGTGAAATAATGTTGGGTTGTTGATAGAAACTTAAGGATGGTGCAATGACCAAAAGTGACCATTTTGCCCCTGCTATGTTCATGCACTTTGATGCACAATTTTGAGGTTCTAATGGCTTTTTTATGATGTATACATGTTATATTGAGTGTGTGAAAAGTTTCATTGAAAAATAACATGATTTGGTCACCCAAATGTGTTGATTTCGAAAGCTTAGAAAACTGGAAAATGGTTCCCGTAACTGCCCAGGCAGTCATCTTGTTTCGGCCATAACATTTTACTCCGATATCGAAATCGAGTGCCCTTTGTGGCACTGGAAACTAGACATTCCCAGATTTCCATTGGTATAAAATGTATGACCTAGTTCTACTTGAGCGAGTGACACCATTCGTTTGAAAATCCCTGTCCTGTTTCGTTGTTCACTGGAAGACAGAACAGGAACTACAACTTGATGCTCAAATGTGAGCTAGTTTTGGATGGATTTTGAAAATTGTTTCTTCTGAGAAATTGTAGATTAATGAAATTTTTTTCCAACGCCACCAACCACATCCAATTCTGAGTTGAATTGAGTGATTTGTGGCCGTATTTCGAAACTGACTTCTTGAAGGAAAACCCTCCTTTTGGGCAGAATTGTTACTAAACTCGATTGAAACTTGTTAATTCGAGATTTTTGGTGTTAATCACCTACCAAACACATCGTCAATGTTTATTAGACCTTGTCTACACCAATGAACCATGTTTGAGGAAATCTCCTTGGCCAAATGCTCGAAAAGGGAAAAACGGAAGTCCAAGGCAGATTTGCCTTGAAACTTCTTGGGACTTTAGTGGTTTTGTTAACCGACTTCCCATGCGTATTTTTCTATAAAATTTTACATAGGAGTCGCCCTTATATGGTAGTTTAATACTGCTAATTTGGTGCCATTCCGAGTCCGTTACGATACCTAACCAAAGTCCCAAAGTTTGAAGTTTAAATCTGGAATTTTGTTTAACAGTTTCGATTTTTCACCAAATTTGAGCTATTATATCTTGGTGCTCAAAACTCTGATTGTTGACCTGCTTATTGTGTTTTAAACCTTGTATGTAACTCTAATGGAGTTCCAAATTTCAGAGGCTGGTTTGCATTGTGTGAATTTCACCGAATTTACAAACTTTGCCGAAGACCAACCTTGAAAACTGCCTTGGTGTCCAAAACAGTGACTTTTGGCCAAATTTTGAATATCTTTCATTTGGAATCATGGAAAAGTATCTTCTAAGAACTTTTAGTACTTTCTAATAGGTTTCCAACGGTACTAAATTTTCCAATTTTTGATAATCAGGGAGTGAGTTATGATTTTTCAAAGAACGCCCAACAATTGAAAATTCTTGGCCTTTTGAAAAGAAATCCGCGCGGGAAACTGTTCACCAAATCCGGCCTTGAATTTGGCCAGTTCTTGGCCAGATAGTCGACCGAATTGGTGTTGGAATTTGAAAAAAATAAGACTTGGCCTTTGCCTCCAATCCGGCCAGAATCCGGCCGGATTGTGACGTGGCCTGCCATTTTCCGACTTCGGTCATTTGTTTCGAGATCTATTTGCTCGTTCTTGTTTCCGTCCAATGATTTTAAGAATAATGATCCGTTTTTACACAAGTCTTGTAACTCTTTTGAGTCTTGATTGTTTCAAAAGAAACTTAGACCCGATTTTCGAGATATTTTCTTATATTGTACTAGTATACGACCTTCCTCATTGTTTGAGGATTATCAGTAATAGTCCATTGTTAATTGCTCAGGCACATAAGAGGAACTTCAAGAGGATCCCACGGTTGACGCTTGAACTTCAAGTGCCATTTCTTCTTGTTTACTAGGTGAGTGTCAAATGTGTGTTACTTGAACTCCTGTGAACTCGATACATGTTTACTTGTTATTGATACTTGAGATTTTGAAATTTGAGACAAGCGTGTACTTTATCACACTCGTTCTCGCTTGAAATGAATAACTCGTACTTGAATACTTGTATATCTCGATTGCTTGAATATACCACATGCTTGAATGACTTGAAATAGTATGCTATGGTGTCGTTGGAGTGAATCTCCTCGACACTCAAATATACATGGAGGATACCCAAAACCTCATTGGTCATCCTTGTACTCGAGCCGGCATGGGTTTGGTCGGGCTCCTTGGTAAACCGTGGGGAAAACAATGAAAGCTTGATCTGGTAAGAGATCTCGCTTGGCATACTCGAGTAGTATCGCCTTAAATAAATGACAGGCGGGTTCGATACAGGGGTATGTAAGGTGAAAGGGGACAGGTTAAGAGGAGTTCTACAGACAAAACCTACCCGGTTGACGGAGTGTCAATTTGTGGAGGTTATTGATCGTGCAAGTGGAATATAGCTCCTGAGAGCTTCAGTATCCTTGAATTGTTTCTGTTTCCTTTTCCAGTGAATTGTTAACTAATGAATTATTATTGCTCGACTTGTAAATTGGATTTGTTACTTGAACAATGTGCTTGCATGTGTGTTCTTGGCCTCACGAGCATTTTGCTCACCCTGTAGATTTGTTTTCCTTAACAGGATTGGGCTTGGAATGAGACTCAGAGGAAATTCCCTTTTGTACTTTTGTAATAGGGTTCCAATTCTTTTGACTAGATTTTTGGCTATTGTATATTTTGGGCTATATTATGGAAACCCGATGTAAGGATTGGGTAATTGTTATATATCGTTAACCTTGAACGCTTCCGCTTTAATTGTATTTATATTATCTGATTGTTGACGTCTACCACTGCTATAAGCTTGAACCAAAATTGCTTGAGTCCTGGCGAGAGTTGGGCAGACTTTCTGCGGATATTTTTTGGTTCGCCTTAGGGAGATGTGGGGGCGTCACAGAAATCAAAAATCAAAAAAGGAAAAAGGGGCTACGGCTAGGGTTTTTGAAGGGAGATCTTAGGTTGGGCAGTAAAAAAGTCGAGCGAGAGGAAAAAAATAGGGTCTGGGAGCTGGTGAGAAAGAGAAAAATGCAACAAGAAGAAAAATAGGGGGCTAAGAGTAAGAAACTGTGAGGACTCGCAAATTCCTTGCATATTTCTCAAAAATTCCCTTTTATTTGAAAATTATTTGGAAATTATTATTTCATGTTATCCATGGTTCAATCACCCTAGAAAAGTGCCAATGACCATAGGAAATTAGGGTTTTCCTATTCGTTTTCAATTCAAGGTGAAATCGGATTTCTCGTGTAACCGCAGTATAATTATCCGGTACCGAGTAAGGATCAAATTTGGTGCTTAAGAGTGACTTTTAAGTGAGAAATAATATGTGATTAGGAGCAATGATATAAAGTTGGTGAATAGGAAGTAAAAATCCTAGTACGGGGGATTTAAGGAAAAACAGTGCGAACCGACGTGTACCGCGTACTACCGATTGAACCACCACTTGATCACCACTTTCTTGCTATACAAGTTTATCATTAATGGAGCAAAATATCTTCCCCCTCTTAGCCCTCCTATTGGCCGAAAATTAGAGGTTAGAAATGCAACAAGAGAGAGAAAAATTTGTGGTCAAGATTAGTCCAAGTGTTAGCCAAACTTGTGGCTAGAATTAATCCTTAGCTTTCCAACCTTCTTATGACACAAGCTTAGCTTAATTTCCTTCATTAATTCTGCATCTTGGCCGAAATAAGAGAGAGAGAGAGAGAGAGAGACAAAGAGAGTTCATCTCATTCTCCTTCATTTCTTCTCCAAATCTTGAAAAGTTTCTTCTATTCGCGCAAATCTACTCCGATTAAGTTGTTATCTAGCACAAAGGCTACCTACCGGTGTAATTTTCTTGAGGAACAAAGGCCTTGAACACTTGTTTCTAGTCTCCTTGGAA